ATTCAATGTTAACGCATTAAAAAGGTAATATTTTTACACGAATTATACTATGAAATAAAGTTACAGTCGAACAAATTCTCATTTGCATAGATTATAAATAATTTGAATTCTAAATACGAATTTTAATTTTAATTTCAAATCGAACCAGCTACTTTTCTATGTACGAATCGCAAAATATATTTAAACGATTGCAAACAATTCAAAGAACACGTGTATACGTGCCTTTATAGATTAGTTACACCTAACCTCAATTTTAAAAATGGAACAACCCTTCGAAGTTAGAAAATCGCAATTTTGTAAACTAATTTTTCCGCTCGTGTAAACATCATTAACCTTAATAATTCTCTGTTAGCGAGTTTCTCGTGAACGAATATAAAGGCCAATCAATGGTCAGTCGAGTTTAGTTCGATATAAGATTGAGTGACAACGTCGAAGACGCACCGAGTATCGTTGTAACCGAACAACCCCTATGGTGACCAAAAGGGTAGGGCCGGAGATAGAAAAGGGCGCGGCAGGCAATCATAGATACCGTTCCATTTAACTTAGCCCGTGTTTATTCGTTCTAAGCGTGACCTAATCCCCTGTTTCTCTATTAGACCTGCACTCGTAAAAGATTTTCACCGACGATAAGAAAATCAGAAAAATGCATTAACCAGTTTTCCAGAAATCTTTGCTCACCTGAAATTAAAACATAAAATAATATTTCGATCTATATATTGACACATGGTTAATTAAAATTAGGTTATTTGAAGACGATTAATGGTACATGACGTTTAAATAAAATTTACTGTAATTTCTCACCGTGCGATCCAAAAATGAAATTATTTGGCCATTTTAAGATTTCCGGGACAAATAATTGTCCATTTTAAATCTTCTCTACACAGAACACCAAAATACGTGAGTAAAGAGATAAATAATTAGTAATTGTAATAATTAAAAATATTTCGAAAAAAATGCGTTTACTTTCTCATACCTTCTAATTCGTATGATTTTGTAGGTTAAAATTTGTCGCTTCTTAGATGAAACCGCATTTGTTAGATACACCTAGATGTTTTTTCAATCAACTTGAACACAAGAGATTAATGGTACGCGTAAAATTCGAAACTAGTGCACGCTTGTCTGATTTAAATCGACGTTTACTACTGCATGAAATCAAAGAACGTGGCGTCGTTCGGCCGAGCCGGACCAGGTACGCACGCAAAGCTTTTAAACCTCGCGCCACCGTAAATCCTCTTATTTCCCACCGATCATTTACCTATCGCGCGATTGTCGTTCTCGTGGTCGTAAATTCTTGTATTAACGACGAATCTGCCTCGCAAATAAAGCAATCTCTATCGCCGTTCGATCAAGAACGAAATTCACGGAACCCAAATATTTAAGAGGCACAATACCATGCTCTTGTAAATACAGCGATATAAAATTCCTATGCTCGCTACTGCCATCTGTCACAGGACACCGCAAGACATCGATAAGCAAAGCTAACATCACGTCATACGGTTTTATGCGATCTACCAGCGTCAGATCGAGAAATAATAATAATGATATAATAATTGCTTGAAAGTGCATGTGTATTCGTGTCAAATTAACTCATATCATGTTTAAAAAATGAGAATAGACGTTACGTGATATCGAAATGATATGTACTTCCTGTAATATTTCCGCCAATAGTAAATACGCGTTGCTTTCCAATTGCGACGTATGAATATCATGGCTGCTTGTCTAACACGTGTATTTTTAATTAGCAATTAGCAAATAATTGAATTACTGTTTATTAAATGAACTGAAAAGCAGAAAAAAGGACAAAGGTGAAAAATAATAATATATTATTGATTGATTTTATTGATTATTTGCGAATTCAATTTACGTAATCGGATGAAATCTGTTCACAATCACGGACTACGGAATCATTCAATTTGATAGTAAACGATAGAACCTATTTTTCTTCGGTCAGAGATTCCTCACGATATTTACGAAGAATCGTTAAAAGCACGACGCCTACCGATAAGATAAGTCGCTCGAGAAGAAGAATAGAACGATAAGCATTCCCTAGAGTATCGTATATCGAATGATTTTATAAGTGTAACAACGATGACGATGCACACAAATCCAATGCATGCGAAAAGAGACGGTGGTGCTGATAAACGGTTATCGACACATTGCGATAATCGTACAAACAAACGATAGTATTTTCCAACTTGTGCATACTAAAAAATTTATTAACAAATTTCGATGAAAATTTCACGCAAAATTGGAATTTTTATACATTTATACTTTATAAAGAGTCTCTATAAAAATTTAGATACTCCTGAGCGTTGAAAATACATGACAAATATTTTGTTATTATTATAACCAATGAAATAATAAGAAATACGTCGAGAAATTTTAATAAAGCACTTAAAACAAAGAAGAGATATAGATAATGATTTAAATTTGGGTAAATTACTACTTCGATAAAATTTCTAGACCTCACTAAATGTAAGTAATCCAAATGTTTTAGATTCTTATGACAAAATTTATTTAACACAGAAAATATGATTTTAGGTTATATACGATTCTGAGTATAAATTCGTGTTTATTATATCTTTGGACATATTAAAGCAACTCGGGTATGATACTTTATATTTATTATCATAATCGGTCATTCGCGTACTCAATGTTCGGATAATCGACGTTCCATTGTATTTCAGAATTAAAGTGCCATGTACGACTCGCCTATTTGGAACACTATATTTAAACGTTGGTAACGGATCAGAGTTCTTTCAATACATCAAATTTCTTCCTTTCTACGAATGGACTTGCTGAATGAGAAATTTATAAAGGAACATCTCCTTGGTACCGGAATATGAACCGATTGGACTCTGCTTACATTTATTTACCTCTGTCAGCATTCATCGAAGCAATACATTGCAACCTCTGCATATTTTACATCGTGTAATTGGTGTTTAAATTAAAAATCTACTTCAAGAACAACAAGCGTTATGCTTCGCGAAATAATATCCCGTCACTGTGGAAAATATAAATAGATGATCGAAATACTGCGTCGATAATGCTATTACCGATCGAGGAATATCTATATACATATGGTAATGTAATTAATGTAATTGTGCATTTAATTTATCTTATACTTGTGAAAATTGGGGTAACTGAAATATCAAAAATGAAATATAGAATAGTATGTACTTACGTATATTTACGCATATTTGAGACATATAATAAAATATTATTTATACTTGATATATGTCATTCGTTTTATTAAAATTTATCAATTTCACTTTCATGTTTGTAACACTATCTCGTTCTAAATACTTATACAAACTTTGCCAAGTACCTAATAAAGAGCTAGATTAACAGAAATATGTTCGACTAGCCTTCCACAGAAGGTTACCTGACAGACAGAATACTTAGTCGGCGGAAGTTTCTCAGAAACGATAAGAGTTTTAATTCTTATCCAACAAGAAATCGGTAGATCGATCTTATATAACGTTTTAAGATATACTTTAAAGAAAGCTAATTAGTAATTTCAATCGACCTCCACGTACCAAAGTTGTTCGACATACACATGCCTATGGTCTAGACGTTACGCTTCCGGTAACATGTGTTTTTAGGAAAATCTAGAATATCAATATGTCTACCTAGCTGTTCCTTTGTACAAACATGGTTGCTTTACATTCACACATATTCAATAGCTATAGCTGGGAGTAGAGGAGTACTAAAAGGTAACTATCGAGCTCTTGCATATGTAATACAGTTTTTTGAAGTAAAACATTAAAGACCATGCAAATTGTTTAACCTTGCAGAGGTCACGGTTCTAAAAATTTTTCATTCGGTTGCTGCGTATTTAAAAAATACACGATATTAAATTTACTTTTCATTTTTAACTTTTCGTAAAAGAAATTATGTGCATATGTAGAGCATATTTTTTCAGCGATAGAGATAAATTTATAATTATTAAATAAGAGATAATCGTTTCTTTGCAACAAAGCTATGCATACACTGCAAAAAAAAATAAGCAAACCAATATCTTTAACTAGAACTCAGAATCGTTTTCTGGCCTAAAACAGCGGTAAAACGAGCATAACATCCATCACAAATAATATTATTATATTCAAGACATAAATACTTCTCAAAAAGTTTACCGAAATATTTTGAAAGACGAGGAGCTGTTTTTCATGCATAGCAAGTGTAATATCTTTTTCTTTCTCTTTTCTTATCTTGCTCATCAATACATGTATACTTTCATTTGGTTTTGTGTAACGACTATGTGTATATTAACTATTCTTTATTGGCAAAAATATTCAAAGAAGGATTTTTTAATATCTATAACATCACATAACCTGCAAATAATTAAAACGTCATAAATCTAATTACTCGTTCTAAAAATTATCTGATTCATTATATAATATTTACGAAAATTACGACTCCGTTAACATAGTTTATTATCATATAACCGGATATCCGGAAAAAATTTAATGATATTCCTTTCTAACTTCAAACTCTGTAAAATTGACAAATAGACGAATTTAATATTTTATCTGACAACATAATCGCTCAGAATTTCAATAACATCGATCTCCACTTACCACGGCTATCATTCGCGAAATCTAGATTATCGATATTTAGTCAGAACTCGCCACACACGTGTATACATATGTATACGCGCGCCTACGCGTCACCGTGTCGAAGGGATCACGCATATATCCATCGATACATATATTTGCCTTAGATACAATCTATAACTCTTGACGACACTCCCGAATGCTAAAAATATACTCCGATAATCGCCAAGTATTGAAAATAACAATCGAATCTATTCTTCCAGCACCTACAGCTGCGAATCAAAATTTCAAAATCGGGACTCAGGTATACTTCCATACGAACACACGATGATGCACGAACAAACACGATCCAGCGTGCAACTCCCGAACGTTAGTGCACGAGCACTTAAAAAGTAACGGGATAGCTTGGCGAAATAGTGTCGCAGAAACGGTTGGCCACGCGATTATGCAATCCGCTATCTGTATTCGTGAACAGTTATCGTAAGTCACGGCTCTGGCTCATTAATTAATTTCCCGGGCTAATGATGTCAGTTAGATTTCTGCAAACAAACCACGAGGAACGTGCTGGAGTGCGTGCGTACTGAAGTATATATACCCGCTACGGCCATGTCGACGTAGCGAGATAGAAAAAGACAGAGAATCAGGCAGACGCGAGACTGAGAGAGATGGATATAGAACGCTTTGCAACCAGTCATTCCTAATGGATTCTGCATTGATCCTTATTATCATAAACAGAGTGTTTATCGATAGGCGTGTTGTGTAATTTAATGAATCTGAATATATCGTTCCGACCAGCATGACACCGTTGAACACCGATGTTTTTCCCGTCAATTTTCACGGGGGCGGTGGTCGGTTAATGGAAAAGGAGGAAGTGAACCTGATCGATCCCCGGTAGGTATACATTTTCCTGGATCCGAAAGCGTAAAAATACCCAGAGAAGAATAATAGTATCGGGCTCTTGCAGGCCTGCGAATGACGTGGATCAGGCAGTTTTGCGTCAAACCACAACACGCGTTCTCTTTTTTCCCATCGCCTCTTTTTTATCTTGGCCTTCTTTAGCTTCTTTTTTCTCGCGATTACGAGTTAAATAGAACGATGAACTTATGTAATTTTTGTTTACACCATTTTCGTGATTTTAGGATGTTATGTTATAATTATCCTGTAACACCAGGGACTGTGTCGAAATGTTTGAAAGGACAGAGCAACGTGTATGAAACTGATATTGTAAGAAAAACCACTATTTTTATCTTAAAACCACAAAGCAAGGTTAAACAAGGTACTTCATTCGCTATTGTTTCTAATACTTCCTTTATTTCATTTCATTTTTTGAATTATAATCATAAACGATAACTTTCAGTCTTTCTTTTTTAACTTTTTGTAGACATTAAAAAGAAGTCATAACGAACGACGGAATTTAGTGCTTACAACAATCAATAACTCTAATGAGTGTATCGTAAGTAAGAGTAGAGTTTGGTTAAAGAATATAAGAATATAATGGATCAGAAATATTTGTGGAATTCAAGACATCTCGAATTTTTATTTTCCCTCCAGTTTGTGCGTTACTATTTTTATACATTTTGTAAAAAGGCGCCAAATGTAACAAGCCGGTTGCCACGTTTCAGAGGGCAACAAGAAGGTCGGACGTTCAACCGATTTCACGAGACACATGTCGACACGAGAGGCGAGAATTAACAGTGTCAACTTGTTCCCTCGAATCAATTCTCGTCGCACTATCTCGAAGGTTTACAAATGGCGATACCTCACATTTCATTTATGTAGTTACAGAGCGTACACAATACGCACATACGAACAAACAATCGTATCAAATAAACCGATTGTATTTATCCGAAATGTTCTCGGAAATGTTCGACTGCAGAAAGAGTTCCAGCAAGCAAATGGTAACATTCATTCCAATTTTGCGAATTTTCCTTGCAATTGTCAAACAAAGAAAAAAGAAGAAGTTTTTAAATATTTTCTTTTTTAGGTTATAATTAAAAATCCGACGACAGCTTGACTATAAATTAAAAAGGAAAGAGAAGAATCTACATGGAAAATTTGACACGACGCAAGATTTACGAGGAAAACTTGACTCATAACGAAACTGAGAGCTCTAAAGTTACGAACCGTACGATCTTTCGTAATTTTCACGTTTTTGCTTTACGAACGTCCTTCTAGGCGTTTCTGTCCGTCCTATATGCAATGTCGTGGACGTCACAATGTCTCGTTATTCTATTCAACCTTGCTTTATGTTACGATTGCGTTGCACCTGTAAAGTTCTGATTCCGATAAGCGGGAAACGTTAATGTTTTAACGAATCCGGTGTCTATCGGTGCCCTATTAATACTGCATCGCTATTTAAGCATCGTGAAACGTTCTTTTTTCCCCCTTCTTTCGTCCTCTGCATCTCACGGTCAAGGGAACTACCCGCGGGCAATCCGATCGCCTCGCACCAATAAAAATCGTATTCTTAATTGTGTTTTGTTTCTGCCGTTTCTCCAACGATATAGTCGCGTAACACAACCGATGATTGCCGTGATTAACGAAGAAGTGACTTCTTTTTGTCCTTTGACCGTTATGAAATATACTGTCTGAAGTTAAAGCTACATCGAGTCGTCAAATAACACACGATCCCTCGAATGGGTCGCCAGATAAAAACTGGAATGGTAGTAAATTCGTCCAACGGCCGTGTCAGATTCCTTAGCGCGCAGACTGTTTACAAACATCAGTGAACCATTCGTATTTGACTTTAGTAACGGACTTCTGGTTGAAGGTGATTAACGTAACATGTATCTTTAAACATCGTTTCGCGTGTAGTAGTATGTCATAAAATATAGGATTCTTCACAGGTGAAATTGAAAGTTGTGATTTAAAGGTTAGATGGTTAAATTGTAGTACTCGATTATAGGAAAATACCGATTGTGTAAATTGATAGGAGAACATATGTATTTATTTTTTTTAAGGATATCCTTTATTTTTATAATATGTAATTGGAAATTTTTTTAAATGTTAAGATACACTTCGAAAAAATGTCTCGAAAATTATATTATTTTTTAAGTGTATTCCAAACTGAATAAAAGGGAATCTACATTTAAAAAAATAGATTTTGTTTCGTTTTGAATCTTTTAAAATTCTAACTAATAATGATAACGAACGATGCAAATACTTGTCACCTAAACTATCGTGAAAAAGAAAACATATAAAGAACTTTGCAATGAAACGAACAACTCAAACCACAACAAGTAATTACCTTTCTCGAGATAATGATAACTTGTCAAAAATGAAATGTGCTGACCACACAATCGATCATTGCGAAAGGAGTAATAATTTTGATTTAATATCAAAACAACTGCTAGTAGGAGGTGTAATATTTCAAGGTGAAAATATGTATAAGTTAATATCTCACGGCATTAGGAATCGGTAGTCGAATAAAAAATGTAGGGACTAAACTATGGCGTACATAAGATTTCTTTTTCGGTTAACCTTTTGACGATGGTCAAGGCTAAGTGTTCATTAATCATAAGAAATTAAATAAACCTACGTCATGTGTCGATACATTGTCTTGTTGATACAATAATTGAATAGAACGAGCAAGAACTAGTGATTTCGACAACCATTTTGCATTCATCACGATGATTTACGTATCTTTGAAAATTGATGACAATGATATATATAATTCTCACGGTAAATGTATTTCTTTAATATAAAATTACTTGTGAATTCTTGAATTAAAATTTAAATAATTTTCGTCGACTATAATATGTTTATACCTCGTTTAAAACTATATACATAATTTATTTTTGAATTTTTTATTATATTTCTGAAGGCCTACACCTTTCTATATTCATATGACTGAAAATTAAAATGGTACAAAAATGATTGTTTTGAATATTTAATATATTGCTGAAAATAAATACCATCATAACTGAGATTAACGAATACATATTTACTACACAAAAAACGTGGAAGAATTGTTAAATATCAAAAGGTCAGAAAAATAACAGGAATTTTATTTCTATAAAATCTATTAGTAATTAAAGAATTACTTTTAATTTGTTATGAAAGACGACTATTTGTGACTTCCTTTTAAAAGATATATAAAATATATGCTTCCTTTTAAAGTATATGCCTTTATACAAGTGATGAGAGTAAAAAAGAAAGAGAGAGTCAATTGGAATCCGTCAGATCCACTTATTTCGACCTTGAAACTTTCCAAGATTGCACAAAAAGAAGTTACTTACACAGACTCATAAGAACAAAGTTACTGTCTTGCATGTTATTTGAAAACAATTTACAAAATTTACACCCTGCTTCTTCAACGTGCTTCTATCCCTTTTCGACCGACTGACCTCAATTCTTCCGCGACCTTGGATCGTTTGGAGGTCACTATCTGGTAATCTTATCAAATTTTTCTCAATTTTGGTAACATCACCGTTAACGTTACATAAACAAAAATTATTTTAATTCAATCAATGTCATACAAAATATGTAAAGTTATAATTCAAATAAATGAAAATAAACGTAAAATAATTAGGTAAACATCAGGGTTTGGATAAATAAGCGGAAACTAGTGCACGTTTACCTCGAAACATCGTGTGTACGTTGTCAAAAAATGAAATCTCGAGTGAAGCAGTGAATCACGTATAATCGGTCTGATTATACAAGTATGCGGATAAACCACTGACTTATCTACGTTCCAATTGCCCATGATTTCACACTCGTTACATCGAGGCTTCTAACCTATTTTCTCTTTTTTTGTCCCTCTTTTTGTGTTTCCATCACTTGATAAGCGAGGAGGGAAATAAGCTCAGTCCGATTTCATTGGGTGGGGTCATGGTAGTAGCACTTTCTCCTTCGATTCGACGTCAAGATTGCGGTCTAATTACTTAAGATCTTCACATGCACGAGGTTGTAATTTTTTTCTTCGTATCTACTGCGAAAATGAAAACACGTAACCTCAACGATGAAATACCTTTAGCAGAGAGGTCATACGTGAAACTTCGATGCAATTATCCCTAAACGACTCTCCTCGAGCAATTTCGATTAGAAAACTCTCACGTTAAGTAAATTGAGAGTTTCGAAACATGGATCTTCAAGCAATTGCACCACTGTCATTTGAAACCTGAATTACAGATTCTGCGAATGATAAATTTCTGAAGAACTCACTATGAATATCATAATTGTTAATCTTTAACAAATCTTAATAGCAGGTTAATTTTATATGCATGATACCAAACGTATTTGTATAAATTAAGGGAAGATTTAAACGAAAAATTACATACATTTAATGAATTTTAAATTCATGTTAATTTCGTGTTCTTTCACTAGCAAATAAATATTGCGTTGTATAAATCACGCATCGAACTCTTGTGTGTAGCTGCTAAGCCGTGTGTGTATCTGTGAGCAGTGTAAACATATATCGTTTATTATGGTATTATAGTATTATGGTTTATTATAGTATTATAGTAACCGTTGCATACCACTTCTCGCGGTCAAAATGTTTTATGGCGCTTGCCTCGAGACTCGAATATCAGATCTCGACTCTCGTGAATCCAACTGAAAGGGGGACTGGCATAAGGGCTCCGTATTTCGTCGAAAACACGAACAAGAGAGCTCGGAATTTATCACTAATAATTCTCCTTTTAAAACCTGAGAACTGTCACACATTAAAAGACACATTTACAAATTCACGCATAAACCAATCAAACATCGCGCATCTACTGATTATGCTTTGTACATAACCAATAGAAAGCGAATGTAAAGGAAAATAAAAATGATGGAAATCTGAATCGTGCGATTCTATAAAGATCGACTAACGAGAACACAACACCATCACGACACGCAAAATACATGCATTCGTTAATATTCTTAAATTATGAAATATAAATCTATAGAAATCACGTGGAGCGCGAACTACACGTATCCAGCTTCAACTGGATGTGTTATGATGAATCTGACATAAGTCAGCGCCCCCATCCATCTTAGCGAACAAATGTAAACAGGATGTCCAACCGCGCGAAATTCAAAAACCACCGAATTGCAGTAGACGCTATATTAATTAATAACTTTTTTGAAAAAGTGACTCAACTTAAAGTTTTGATCAAATTTAAGTAACAGGTGTCGTTTTGAGTATATTTAATACCTCCTCTGTGTATGAAAATACATATATATATATAAAATATCCAAAATTCAAATCGTCACGCATGATAATGCTAATCTTAATACGGAATATAAATTAAAAATTGAATTCTAAGTTAAAATCTACGTAATTAAAAGAAGAAGAAAAAAAAGAAACGTTTATAGTACTTCGCGTAAAGCGCGTGCGCAAAGTTTTACAAAATAAAATCAGACTTTATGTAAGCCTTATTTGTCAACACACAGTACAAGCTAATGAATATTAGATTAGCATGCTAGACACGCGGGATATAAATTAAAAATCACGAAATTTGGAAAAAAATAAGACTTCCGTTTAATTCGTACAAAGCACGCACTTATGTACACGAAGTTTCGCAAGATACAAATTTTACGTAAAAATTATTTATCGACACACGAGGAACAAAGCAATGAAAAATAAATGAACGGTGCACACGTGTCACTACACGATAGATTAGCAGTGGCAACTTCGGTTGACCTTTCTCGCAAAACATTCGCCGCGAAGACTTCTGTGAAAGACAGAATCCTCGCTACCCGGCAAGACAAATGTTTTTAGACAGCTTCGTAATGGCTATCCTCCGTTAAGACGTTTGCTTCACCTTTGTTCTTTCGCGAAGTCGTCATATATGTGTATCGATAGGGCCGTTTCCAGGCAAATGGCCGGGTTACAACCGAATGCTGCAATTTTCTGCAGAATTCATAGGGAATGATCGCTTTACAATGTAGATAAAAGCTGGTGGCAATGTCGAATATCGTTGAAAGTCGAAGACCAGTCGATTTCGTCGCTGGGAATTGCCGACGGACCGTGTAAATCGACTACCGAGAGTCCGCCGCTATGCTCTGTGAATAAGTCACGTGAATGTCTCCATTATTTATACGCCTCACGTGGGAGGATCGATGTGTGTGACCTGAGGTTACCATACGATCGTTAACGCAACATTTTATCATTATTATACGATCGCGAACGGATAAAAGACGGGCTGATAATTACCGCATATGTAAAAACATTAAACTATCGTGTCATCCTCCTCTTTTTTTCCCCCTCAGTATATTTCACCCTCAATGGTCTCATAAATCACCCGGCGACGGTGCTGCTCATTTTTTAATACGATTATTCTTACGCAAGCAAGGACTTTCTTGGTTCCCCTTTACCTCGTCAATGATAAATGTTACAGGTCCCCAAGGATTAACCTTCTCTTCGATATTCGTGTTTATTTCGATAAACACTGCTAGAGAAAACTTTACCGACAACGTAAACATGGAGACGAACTATGCGTGCATAGCAGAGAGTTAACATCGGTGCAAACTTTGCTTATTCTGCAATCCGATAATTCCTTATCGCGTATGCTTGCTAAACATACTCTGTCGAAGTGTTTCGAGGAATCAATCGAGTTTTCTATTTTATAAATTTTTGTTTTGCAAATATTTTTTTTTTCTCTTCTTTTTGAAGGTAGAAATGAAACGAGAATATCGCTATTTCGAAACGAGCAATCGAAACGATCGAATGCAAATTCCTGCAGATTCCCGGCACGGTTTATCAGTTACGATAGATAGAATCAAGATCGTAGATTAGCTGAACGTTAGCGATAACGATAGACGGACATCGTGGGAATAGAACGCGACGATAATCTGCAGATGAC